GATGTCACCGACTGTCCGATACTATGGAGGATATTTTCTATTCTTACTTTTGTGAATTTCTGTGGTGATGGCAGTATACAGATTACATATTCTAGATAATTTTAAGATATAATTCGGATAATTTTAAGCAATTTTTGAATGCAGTTTAGGGATTCTTTGTGCCGCACACCGAAGATACAGAAATTTCTAAATAAGGTAAGCTGATATTTCCTACTTGTACTGAGCTGATTAGTACAAAAAGGATTATTTCCATTTTTACGTTCCTTGTTTTATTTTGCTTTAAAATGCAGTTTATTGAGATTATAATTTTTTAATATTTTGGATGCCATTTTTCTTGGGAGGGTGTTGAGCATAAACAGGAATAGTGCCAAAAATATGGCCAATTTTCGCCAAAGGGGGACCCTAAAATATATTTTTCCATAGGAAGCTTCTGTCCAAAGATTCATTCTCAACAAATAAATTCTCATTTGTTGAGCAGTTTTTTTTTTTTTCCCCTTTAAGGCAAATTCTAACTATTGACAGTGATAATCCCTTTTCTTTGTGCTCTATAGTCCATTATCTTCCAAAACAGTCTAGGCTATGATGCCAGTTCAAGATTTTTTATTCTTGTGCCTTTTCTCTAATTCTTCCTGTTCAGATTTCTGCTACCAAATGCATCTTTCGTCAACTTGAAGTTCTCTAGCTGCAGCCTGACATTCAGTTTTTAACACTTTCTTCATTACTGAAAGCTTAAAAACATCTGTCTAACTTTTTTCTTTGATCAATAGTAATAATTTTTAAAATTCAATAATTTCGAATGGTAAAGCACTGTAATGGATAAGCAATAAGCAACCACAAAGCAGTGAGACACATATAAAAATAAAGACTGAACATGGCAAAATAAAAGTTCTTGTGGTCATTAAGAAGACAGTCATCAGAAAATGCACATGAAACTGTGGAGTTCAGCAGAAAATACATGCATTATGTCTTCATTACTGATGGATGTGCACTGAGTGCATTGTACTGTAATTACCGTAATTTCCGGAAGAAAGGCCGCATCAGCGTAAACGCCGCACTCGAGAAAAATGGCGGGAAAAAAATTAAAATTACACAGAAACGCCGCAATAGATTAAATTGCGCGTGACATCGTCGTGGGCCGTATAGATGAAAAACTCAACCTAAGTCCTGATATATGACATACCAGTTAAGAAAAATGCATGAAATGAAACCATAACTCAAAAATAAATTAAAGGTAAGAAATGTATAGCTTCTGTGCCATTTAGGTGCTATTTTCAAAAATTTTCTGCTCCCTTCTTACTTGAAAACTATCCAACAAATACTTGTACCCAAACTGATGGGATCTGTATCTGGCAGAATGCCAAGAAAAATCGATTCATGCTGAAGGGGAAATAGGTCAGTTTTTTATTGTGAGGCAGGTGGAGTGGTGTCTGCCTTTGAAAAAAGTTGCAGAAAAGGCAGGGGTGGGGAGAGGATGGGTCCTGGAAGATTCATCCAATGGCAGAGGAGAGAGACTATTCAAACTGATGAGAATGTTGATTTGAAAGGGGGAAGAATGTTATTGTTCTGAGATCTTGTTTAGGGTGAATAAGGCATGTAGGTCCGTTCAAGGGAAAGAATGTAAACAAAATAACGTTCGCAAAAAGCAACTGAGTGGTCTTTTGTGTGGGAACAGCACCAGTCTATGCACAAGGCCATCCAAACTATGTACAATGACCATCATAGGAAATATTTTATTTTTAGTGCACCTAAACGTCGCATGGGTAGAAACGCCGCACCCGCTGAAAATTTAAGTTTTAAACACGTAAACGCCATGGCGTTTCTTCCGGAAATTACGGTAAGCTGGTTCATGTGTGATCACCTGAGCAAGCCGAGTGCTCATATCAGGCTAAAATGTCACAGTGAATTCTGCGTTTACTGTTTCACTTGTGCATATCTTGCGATCTAAACTAGCAAAAGTTATAAAGACAGAGAAAAAATATAAATCCTTCAAATATGTCATGCATCTAAATTTTGAACTTCTAAACATATGTAAGTTGCAGCTTATCTACCCGAATATATGGTACAGTCAAAAGTCTTTAATCCGGACTTGTCGGGACTTCAGTGATTCCGGATTATAGATCATCAGTTTAAATCTGGTAAGATGGCATGCAGAAATTATAAAATTAAAAGTATGAAACTGTAATTTATGAAATAAAGAGCAATTATGATCTAAAGGGTATTACATTCGCAAAAAAAAAAAAGCTTAATATTTATTTGTTTACTTTATTAAACATTTCTTTCAACGTGTGCATGCGTAAAGCATACATTACGCATAGTCGAAATTAGAAAATTGCAACCAGAAAAGAGAAAACTATTGATGTGTATTCGTGATTATTTATAATGATGAGGAATTTGATTTAAATCATATCAAAGACGGAGTACATCAGGATGAACTACTACATTTAGTAAGGAATTATAAGCCGAATAAAACAAAAACATCTGCCTTGAAGATAAGGATAGTGCTGACAGATCAACTTCCAGTTCACTGCGCGCGGCGATGTCCCCTCCCCCTCCCTGCAGAGCAGCGTGAAATTGATAAACAGATTTCGGAATGGTTAGAGAAACAAAGGATATGCCTTTATCCATTTTTGCAGCAATTGCACTTTTTGTTTGATGGACATTGAAACATGCTTTCGCTTTGTAGATCTTTTGGCAGCTCCAGAATCGAAAACTCTTTTGATATAATCGAAAGTTCAAGCTTATTTTTATGAAAGTGCTCTAACAGTCTGCAAAAAATAATAAGCCGCATCTAATTAGAAGATTAAGGAACAACACAATCTGCAACATTAACTGAAATAGATAATTAGATAATTTTAGCTTAGCTTATACCATCCGTTATACATTAAACGTGCATGCGTAAATGAATGCATGCGCAAAAAGTTTGTATCTTTGAGGTCCAGATTAAGGACTTTTGACTGTACTTGATAACATCATTGGTCAATCAGCTGTGACCATGTCAGTTTGGCATCAACTAGTCTCTGATAAATTTGCATGAGGAGGAGAAAACCTGGAGCCAGTGTAATTTATCATTAAATCTCTATTATTTTAGAATGGGGAGATCAATATCTCTTCCAAAAAAAGAGTGTTTTATTATGGATGTTTATTGCATTTTTTTAATTTTGTTAATTTATTGCTGCTTTATGTGCTTCTCAATACACTGCCATTTTTGAAAATGGCTATTGTCTTTCACATCATAGCTTGGCAAAAAATTAGTCAGTAACAGTTGGTGACTTTTTGAGAGCGAAAATACCTAAATTTTGTTTGCATCACTCTTTCACTTCTGTAAACTGTCTTGAAACTTTGTCAAGGTGGATGTACTAATACGCAATACCTAAAAAAATTGTGCTGCAGGACATTCATATGCTTTCTGGCAAAAATATTTTCAGTTTAAATTGCTTTCATAAATTTTATTTTGTAGTTAAACTATAAAGTATATTTACGGGTACCTCTTGGTGAAAATTGGCGAATTTTGGCAGTACATGGATACCGAGTTTGTGCAGTTCTTTGAGTTGTTATTTTGGCTTTGTGTAGCGGGCGATTTTAGCGCCAAAAATCGCCGCTACACAAAAGCAAAATAACAAGTCAAAGAATTGCACAAACTGGGTATCCATGTACACACTGACCTATTTTCACTTAAAAAAAATCACAGAATTGCACAAACTATACATTGCGCACTCCCTTTATCCATGTCAAGACCCCTTTATCAATGTATTTTTAAGTGATATATTTTCACTTAAAAAGTCGAAGAAGCACCCAATTCTACAGTAGAGGCAAACAAAAAATACATAATCTCAATAAACTACATTTTAAACCAAACAATAAAATAACAAAAAAAAAAAAAAAAAAAAAAAAAACCTTATGCATCAAAGCCCTACACAAAGCAAATATCCACTTACCTTATTTAGAAATTTCTTCATCTTCAGTCACAAAAAATTCCTTAACAGCATCTAAAAACTTCCTAAAATTATCTGAACCCGAATCCATATATTGGCATCTCCACATAAATTCACAAAAATAAGAGTAAAAAATATCCTCCGTAGTTCTGGACTGTCCGGAAAATGGCTACTAAGTAAACCTTCATTTACACACCAATCAATTAACCTTTTAACTGTCAAGTTATTTTGATGATTTGGGTGCATAAATTGTCAATTTTTTTTAATTCCAAAAATGAAAGTTTGCCTCACAATCAAAAAAAAAAAAAAAAAAAAAAACTGTGCACCTTGAACTTTAACCTCTATCCTTTGAAACCTTCAGTAAAGTCCTGCCATCTGTTGAATTGAAGCCGAAATAAACTTCTCACGATATATATTTGGGTATAACACTACGATGCACTCAAAAAAAAAAAAAATTAGCCTGAGCGGTGTTTGGGCTTGACATTTTGAAATACCAGTGCTGTGCCCGAGGTTATTTCGGCCATTGCAGTTAAAAGGTTAATGCTCTTTTCCCCTTTCGTTCCAAATCGTACTGAAACTTCAAATTAATCTTACTATATTCAGGCATTCTACCGTCTAAACAATCCAACAAGCAATGTATTTCCTAACCAACACACACCCATACAAAACACCCCAGAATTCAAAATTTACCACAATCATGGCAACTGATTACATCATAATAAGGTTTCCATAACCTTCAACTACTCGGGTTACCATAAATAAAACAACAACTTGGCAATAAATGAAACAACAACTTGGCGATAATGCAAGGGGTACCCTTCAGTCTACTCTAACCAACTATACTTGTTAAAAATTTAGACATTGCTAAGCAAACTTTTTGTTCAAATTTTATGTATTTGTAGGCAACTGTTTTAAAATATGTAGTAATTCTGATCTTTTTTTTTTTTTTTTTTTTTTTTTTTTTTTTTTTAATCTAAATATGAAAACTGATTTCTGTATACCTGAACCATAAAAAATCTTTTTGGGTTAACTAAATTATTTATTAAATGTATATTTTTTCCCTTTTAGGTTTGCATTGGAGTGCTCAGCATTTGTATCATTGCTCATCTTTTTAGTGTTTTTATTCCAGCTCTTAAGTTTATATATTATTCATTCTATATATCTGGAAAGTTGCTTCTCTTCCTTATTGCTGTAGTAAATGGATTAGTATTAAGCTTAGAAGTTGAACCGTATGTACGCAAAAGACTCAGACCGCAGCCTAACAAAGACATTATACAAAAAACACAGGTAAATGCTTTTAATAGTTTGGTTATGCAAATACTACATTTATTTAAAAGTAGAAAAAATTATGTTTTTTAAGAATCAAATAAGAATGATTGACTCTTAAAAGTGTTCCTATGTATACATGTGTGTGTGTGTGTGTATATATATATATGATATACATAATAATTTATAATAAGAAAACTTTCCATATACTATCTCCAAGAAACACAAATTCAATTTAAAACCATGAATGAAAAAATTTTAAGTCTGAAACACTCTCCATTAATTTAGTTGTTGTTAATTGATGGTAGATTGGTTTATCCCCTTGATAAGTTGATTAATCTGCGATCAAGGAGGTATATCCCTTTGATAAGTCGATTAATCTGCGATCAGTGACAATAGCTACTTTTTCAATACTTAAAATTTACTTTTGGTTTTGGTATTTTTGCGATTAAAGATTTTTCTAATCAGATTTTGTAAACAAGGAGATTGAAATTACTTCTTAAAGTACTAATTTAAATTCTGACTAAAAAATTTTTCATGGTTTTAAATTGAATTTGTGTTCTTTGTAGATGGTATATGGAAAGTTCTCTTATTATAAATTATTATGAATTATTGGTTTATTACTTTGCAGCTTTAGTACAAGACATAGGCTTTTTAATTTACTTTTAATTACTTTATTTGTATACCTATATGGTACTTGCGGAAAATCCCGTCGACCACAAGAGACGGCGCCAATAATGCTAAACCAAAAAAAAGAAAAAACCATTTACTAAATACAATAAAAAATATTCTATTCTTATTTTTCTTTTAAATTTTTATATTATTTTATTTATATTTAATTTTTAATTAAAAATTTCCATTTTTTTTTATTAAGGAGATATACTGTAAGAGCAATTATTTTCGTTAGGTGCCATTAACAAATTTTTTTGAGGCCAATAAAATTCCATAACTTTGCAAATATTTAACAGCATGCTGTTCTGCAGTAGGCAGGTCCCAAATTGTAATCTTTTTTTTTTTTTTTTTTTCGAAAATGCGTGATAAAGGGGAAAAAAAGTATTTACTCAAGAATAATAACTAACACATATAATCAAGGTTACACCAAACCCAGCTTGTTTGAAGAAGACTTTTCCATTTTTGGCAAAAAGTTGGATAGTTTGGCATCTTTCCTTTAACAGGCAAAAATGGTCGAAAATCCCGTCGATATATATATATGTCATTATGATTTTAGAATAGAGAGGAAGAATTATTGTTTTTAGTTATATTATAATTCTGATTCATATAATTTTATCTTACATATTCCCCCCTTCAAAAGAAAAAGGCGTAGCGACAGAGAAGCCTTTTTAAAGAGAAAGAGTTAAAACACTAGCAAATGAAAAAAATAAAAATAAATAAATCATAAAATTTTTGTCCTTCCTGTAAAATATTTATAAATATCAATTTTTTTAAAAATAAATTTTAATTTTTAGAGTCCTATTGAATTTTTCAGCATTTCAGCCCAAAAGTCTTTTTGTTTGAGGATTCACATAATCATAATTCTTCAGGAAGGTTTCTGTTATCACAGAGTATCACAAAATAAAACTTTTATATATCATTACTTATAATTAAAATATAATACACATAAATATTTATGATACTTATTTCCATACTGATAAATTATAATTTAACATCATAAATAAATGGATTAAGATTTTCAGAATTTATGGTTTTCACCGTTATCATCTTTCATTTACAATTCCTGATTTTACCAAACTGGAAGCCTCGCAATACTTCTAACAAACATATCCATCAATAGGGCTGTCCTCTTTGAGCTAACCAGTGTGTTCTCTGCACTGGTTGCCAGGGTGCCTAGACATACTTGAAAAGGCTCATATGTAGATAAATATATGAATCAGAATTATAATATAACTAAAAACAATAATTCTTCCTCTCTATTCTAAAATCGTAATAACTTATCTGCATTGCGTCATTCAAATTAATCATGCGATCTTACGTAACCGTTAATACCAGATGCCTCTTGCAAAGAATATGTATTGTTTGCCTCTTGACATTCTTTGCCTCTTGACAACCAATCGCCGCATTGTAAACCAAAACTTTTCTCTTCGCGTGCTTCCATCTTTCATAACTACGCACTTCAGCTTTTGCTCTCTACTTTGCTAAGATGTAATTTCGCTGGCTTGCTTTCTATCTCAGCAATATCAAAAATGTAAATCTTCTGTGGAAAGGCATGACTAGAGTTCCAAGTGATTGTGGCAACAAATATCAGTTGCAAATAAAAATGGAATTAAAACTGCCTCGACTGCCAAGTTCTTTAGATCACCGATCTACAGTGTTCCGTCTTTTCCTTTGCTTTTATTATGACAATTAAGCCGGTAGAATTCGAACCTACACGGGGAAACCCCAATGAATTTCAAATTTTCTCAAAACAAATTGCAGAAATTTTAACCAAAGTTGAAATGAAAACTATAGAATCGCAGCATATTAAATAATTTAGTTCCTGAGCTAGATTCACACAAATGTAATAATTTTTGAGCTGTTGAAAAAGTGGAAGTGCAAATAATTTTCTGTCGCACATACTTGCAAACACTAACTCAGATCGACCTGAACCCGCTGTAATGCTTAATTCCTAAACGGTAATTCACTGATGATTTCCTTTTCACTAGGCATTTGAACTCCTCAATTTATCGAGAGATTACTTTCAATCTGTAAACACTACGCGTGATTATTTTTTTGAAAGCACTTGCAAAACACCACAGCAGAAGAATGATCTGTTATTTTCAAACACTGAAAAAACAACTTGATGATTCACTTCTTCACATTATCTTGATTATCACAACAATGATTTGAAGAGCTGAATTAAATTTTCCGTTGAGGTTTCAGGCTGCAAGAAACTATCCTGCCGGCTTATTGTCATAATAAAAGCAAAGGAAACGACGGAACACTGTAGATCGGTGATCTAAAGAACTTGGCAGTCGAGGCAGTTTTAATTTCCATTTTTATTTTGCAATTGATATTTGTGGCCACAATCACTTGGCACTCCAGCCTTTCCACAGAAGATTTACATCTTTGATATTGCTGAGATAGAAAGCAAGCCAGCGGAATTACATATTAGCAGATAGAGAGCAAAGCCGAAGTGCGTAGTTATGCAAGATGGAAAGCACGCGAAGAGAAAAGTTTGCAAAATTTGGTGATTGTTGTCAAGAGGCAAACATATTACTCTTTGCAAGAGGCATCTGGTATTAACGGTTTACGTAAGATCGCATGATGATTTGAATGACGCAATGCAGATAGTTATTACGATTTTAAATAGAGAGGAAGAATTATTGTTTTTAGTTATATTATAATTCTGATTCATATCATTTTATCTTACATATATATATATATATATATGGTACTTACAGAAAATCCCGTCGACACACAACTTATCAAGGGGATATACACACACATATATATATATCCATATGTAAGTAAGAAAAATAAAGAATATATAAAAGATTAAATTGGCAACGCAAATTTCCCTTCTCAATTCTAAAAATAGTAACCACTCCCTACACTCTGTGATTTCGAGACTATTCTACGTTATATGGTTCTTAACGTAATTACGATGATGTAAATGGAACTAAAACTCAACCAGCCAATAGTAATTTTACAGCAGTATTAACTGTCCAATCAAAATGATTTGAAAATCAAAACCAACTCTCTGACTTGAGATTTCATTCTGAACATTGCGCATATGCTTTCCATGCTTTAGCCTAGCTACACTGCTGTCTGTCTGCTGCTGCTTTCTTGCTACAAAGTTATCAAAAATGTAAGCCTTTTGGAACAGTCACATTTAATCTGCCAACTTGTGTGTAGCTGTAACATGTTGCTGGAAATAAAACTTAAGATTTAATCTGCATTCGCCTCCCATTTCCTAGTCATTATGGATCAACACTTCTACACAATCAAAATTCCTCCTCCTGCTCTTCAGTTACTTCTGATTTTGTTTTTATTACATGTTTGTATATACATATATATATATGTGTGTGTGTACATAATTACATTTATTGTTTGAAATGTTTGGTTTTAACATTTTAAAATTCTTTGTTACATTTATATAAGTATTTGAAATATATTAATTATGAATTCCAATTTTTGGTCTTTGTGAAATATTAGTTCTAAATTTCTTACTTTAAATATGTACACATATAGAGAGAGACAGATATAATAAAAATGAGTAAATTAAAATTCTAATTTTGATTTTTAATAATCTATGATTTCTAAATTTTTATTTTATTATTTCTCCTTCCCATCCATTTCGGGTAGTAGTAACTACACTGGTTATCATAAATTAAGGAAAAATCACAAAAATAGCGATAACTCCCTCACAAATAAGCCAAACCGTGTAAAATTTGAATATCTTGCCAAGTAAGAGTAGCTGAGTAAAACTGCGATATGCAAATTAGTGGCGCTGCTTTCGGAATACGTCATCTGCGAGGAGCATAAAAGTCCATGGTTGAGAGCAAGCCCACATATTTCACTGTGATGGTGACATCAGAAATCTGAGATAGCCAATTCGTAACAATGACCTCCAGGCATCATTTGCCTGCAGAACTGCGATGGAAAACCATTGGGAGACTAGAGGCAGGACAAAGTCAAACAGAAGTGGCCAGATGGCTAAATGTGAGTCCTTCTGTGGTTCATAGACTTTGGAGGCAATTTGAAACCACAGATTTGGCATCTAGGAGGTTCAGCCAAGGACGAACTGCTACGACGAGCACCAATAATCAATATTTGACATTATGTGCACACAGGAATAGACCTGCTACTTCGACTCTTCTTAGGTCCTTCCCTGCTGCAGTCACCAGAAGGTTCGTGTCAACATCAACTGTGCATAGAAGGCTTCACGAAGGTGGTCTGTACGTGAGGCGACCAGCCATTTGTGTGCCGCTCACATCACGCCATAGGAGGGACCATTTTCAGTGGGCATGACAACATGTCCACTGGACGCCTGAACAATGGAGGGCAGTTCTCTTTACGGGTGAGTCCAGGTTTAGTCTAGAAAGCGATAGTAGGCGTTATTTGATATGGAGAGAACCTGGAACCCGTTATCACCCGGCAAACATCTGTGAAAGAGATGAATACAGAAGGGGCAGTGTCTGTGTTTGGGATGGCATCTCTATGGGTGGACGCACAGACCTCCATGTCTTTCCAAGGGGAACCGTGAATGCTCAGATTTATAGAGATGACATCCTTGATGTTTATGTGTGCCCATATGCTGGGGCAATAGGTGATGCTTTCCTGTTACAGGACGACAACGCAAGACCACACAGGGCTCGCATCGTAGAAGATTATCTTCAACAGGAAACAATTATGTGCATGGAGTGGCCATCTTGATCCCCGGATTTGAATCCTATCGAGCAAGTTTGGGATGCTTTAGGGAGACATCTATGCTGCTGTCAATCCGCCTTCTTAGATCCTTGTCAGCGCTTGCAACTTGCTTCGCAAGAGCAATGGCTCTTCGCTTCCTATGGAACTGATCAGACCGCATAATTGAAAGCATCACATATCACTGAATGTTGCTGTATTGCTTCTAGAGGCTATTATATTCCATACTGAAGGTACTTTTACTATAGCAAACTGATATCTTCGATTTGTTCATTTTTATACATGTGTTAATTTCTATACTACCACATTTATCTGGTAATTCTTTTTATGTTATTTGATACCTTACTATGTGTTGCATATTGTGGGTAAGTTTCATTAAATTCTACATGTAACTTTTTTAGTAATCGTGATTTTTCCTTAATTTATGATAACCAGTGACTTGTGATAAATCTTTTGAAACCGCATTATTTCAAAATTAATTGCTGCCTTATAAATCTTGCATATACTAAATTTATTTATTTTTACAGAATTTATTTATTTTTGAAAATCCTGCCTACTTTTTTTAATCATTAAAATGCATCTTTTCTGTATTTTATTTAAGAAAATGAATGAGATAAATTTATATAGCATTCTTTGGTACTTTTCAGGTATATACCTGTCGTACATTAAACACACCATGAAATGTGTTAAATTAAGCACACACAAACAAGTAATTTGGGCCACATATAGTGTTATGATTGGTTCTCAGTATGCATTTGGTGTCTCTTTCATAGGCGCCAAAAAGCATGGCAGGCACATAATGAAAAAGTATCAATTCTTCATTGTGTATAACTGTATTTTATAGTAAATACGTAACATTACTTAGTTACTGTATCTTAATTTAGTCACCAAGAATGTTTGGTAAGTGAAATTGCTTCATATTATCAAGGAAAATCAAAGAAAATTCATGTAAATTAAAAACTGAATTTTAGTTTAATCATGATATGTACCATTTTAAGATTAAATTATTTGAAGCCTGATATTTATTAAACTTCCTAGAAATGGAGAAGTAATTTGTTTAATGTGAGTAAAGGCAATGATATTTTTCTTTATTTTATGTATTTTTTTATGAATTTATGACTGTTATTTATTTATAGGAAAAGCTTGTGGATCTTAAAGCAACTCCTGGAAAAGTAAAGGGTACTCCATTAGTTTCTCGCAATGTCGATGATGTTATTGATGAGCTTATTTCACTTCTCTTGAGAGATTACATATCATCATGGTATGGATATGTTGTGAAACATCCAAGTGTATTTTGCAAGCAACTCAGGTATTTATTAATTGTTAATTTTATGCTAAACGTACATTTCAGTTTTATTTATTGATTTATTAGCTTAACTCCATTTTCTTTCTATTTGTGTATTGCCACAGACATGGCAGGATAATGAAAGCATACTATTTAGTCGACCATCAAAATAATTTCTTTTTAGGCTTTAGCAATTGAAATTATGTTAAGATTTGATGCTTTTCTTATGTAGGGATCCCATTCGACAAATGTTATTCACATTCAGGAATCAGTGTCGAAAAATGGATGATGTCAAGTTATTCACTAGTGATTTTGTTAGTATAGTTACTGATCATTTGCAGTGTATAAAAGGTGCTATTATAAAGTAAGTATTGATCTAAATATAATTGTCTTGAATTTGTTTTATTGCTTTTCTACTTTTGTAGATTTTATTATTTACTGTATGCAACTCTAGTTCAATCATAATTTCTTTCATTTCTAGCCCAGCTGAAAAAATTGTGCCGTATAAAGTGTATTCTTTTCTGTCTTACAAAGAAGCTGAATTAGATTACCTTAGAGAAATTTCTGAGTTCTTATTAATTACTTTGCTTCCTCCTGAATATGGTAAAAATCCAGCATTAAGGTGTCTGTTGCGTGAAGTGTTTGCTGTTACAGGTGAGTTCCTTTTTACTTCCTTGTAAGAAGTAGAAAGGAAGTATTGTAATCCCGACTGATTTCGGGTATCATATTTCAGAAAATATCCATTTTGACCGCTATTGAATGCAATTTAACAATGTTTTTGCATGACATCTCTATGTAAGGACAGAATAAATTACTCTTTTTCCCCAAATGAATTATAAAACTGATTTGAAATGGATTCAAAAGAGAATTTTTTGTGTCATCTTTACGTACGTATATATCTCGCATAACTCAAAAATGAGTAGCCTCAGAACGTTGAAATTTTGTATGTAGGACATGTAGATGTGCACCTCCTAGTTTGGTTGCAATCGCCTGCGCCAAAAGTGTGTGTATATATATCCACTCTGTTACTTGGCTCAGTGAGCTCAGTTTCTTTATTCTTATATGGGTACTTTTTCATTTTGCCAGAGCAAATCTCTCCAAGCAGACTTTATTGGCAACAACACAGTATGCATATACAAAATATTAGTTCTAAGGATTTTTCATTTTGAAGGCATAAACATTTTAATATTGTTTAAAATTTTATAAAAAGGCAACAAATAAGGACAATAAATTTGTAAAACGAAATTAATTTAAGAATTTACTATGCTTTCATAGTACAGCATCCTGATTTGCTGGTTCATATCATGTGACCAGAAGTGATCTCATCTCACGTTAACTACACTACAAAAATCTAATTCTCTTATTAATTTCAAGTTATCCAGTTATTACAGTCAAAAGTCTTTAATCCAGACTCATCGGGACTTCAGCGATTCCGGATTATAGATCATCAGTTTAAATCTGGTAAGATGGCATGCAGAAATTATAAAATTAAAAATATGAAACTGTAATTTATGAAATAAAGAGCAATTATGATGTAAAGGGTATCAAAATTTACAAAAAAAAAAAAAAAAAAAAGCTTAATATTTATTTGTCTACTTTATTAAACATTTCTTTCAATGTGCGCATGCGTAAAGCATACAGTACGCATAATCGAAATTAGAAATTGCAACCAGAAAACTATTTGATGTATATTCATGGTATTTATAATGATGAGGAATTTGATTTAAATCAAAGATGGAGTAAATAGAGATGAAATACTACATTTAGTAAGGAATTATAAGCCTAATAAAATAAAAACATCTGCCCTGAAGATAAGGATAGTGCTGACAGATCAACTTCCAGTTCATTGTGTACCACGATGTTCCCCCTCTCCCCTCGCAGAGCAGCGTAAAATTGATAAACAGATTTCGGAATGGTTAGAGAAACAAAGAATATGCCTTTATCCATTTTTTGAAACAATTCCACTTTTTGTTTGATGGACATCGAAACATGTTTTCGCTTTGTAGATCCTTTGACAGCTCCAGAATCGGAAATTCTTTTTGACATACTTGAAAGTTCAAGCTTACTTTTATAAAATTGCTTTAACAGTCTGCAAAAAATAATAAGCCGGATCCAATTAGAAGATTAAGGAGCAACACAATCTGCAACATTAACTGAAATAGATAATTAGATAATTTTAGCTTAGCTTATACTGTTCGTTATACATTAAACATGCATGCGTAAAGATCATATGCGCATGCGTCAACGCATTATGCATTAACGCATGCGCAGAAAGTTTGTAGCTTTGAGGTCCAGATTATAGATTATTCCGGATTATGGACGTCCGGATTAAAGACTTTTGACTGTAGTTTATTCTACATTAATTTCAAGCTAAATCTTAATATGGAATAGAAGTTTAAATGCAAGAATCATTTTAATTCGTACGAATAGTTTACTCAGAAATTGTGTAAAACTGCAATGCTTTACTTCACTAGTGCATTCTCATTAGAATTGATGAATTTAACCCTTTACTTTGCCTCTTCTGTATTTTCGCCTTCGAATGAGCAGTGTGATTGCATCCAAATTGACTTAACCACTACGAATGGCCTTAGGGCATAAAATTGAACTAACTATCTGGTAAAAATTCTATGCAATTTTATGCCAGTTTTAAAAGAAACAATCTGATAAGAAATGGCTGTGACTTGTTTTGAAAATGAGGCATAAAAGGTTACTGGCAAGGATATTTATTCCATTTGGCATCGGTTGTATCATTTTTGGTGACTTTATCGCCTACGCCGGCAAAACGGAAAAGTACCCTTATATGTTTGTAAATCATGCAAATTTTGCTTTAGAAATAATTGAATTATGTTGTTTGTATCTTCTGATTAAGACTTTTATGTCTTTAGTTAACCTGTATGTTATAGTTGTAGAATTATCAACAATTTTAAAGTTGTAAGTGCGTCTAAGTCTAATTTTTTTACCATAGCAGCCATATTTGTTTGCATTTCAAATGTAGCAGAATAGTGGATTTGTTGTCAATCTAGGGAAACTAAGTTGCACAATAGCAAAGTAACATCTTTTATTATTGTGAATTAAATTATGCTTAATCCATTCTGGAATTATCATTTATGCCATATATTGACTCAGAATAGCTTCTACAAGAAATTAAGTCAGTTTCTACGCCTTCAGTGTCTTTTTGCAGAGTGAGATCAAAAGTAAATTTTCAGTTTTGTGCACTGAAAAATCTGCCTTCTTGCCTGCTGTCCGAATTGCTTGATTTGCATAGAAACTGTAAAAATTTTTTTAAATTGTTTTAAGTGTATTTGTTTTATGTTTTTCTGTATCTTTCAATTTTTAATATAGATATTTCGAGTTTTTATGTATTTTTGTCGCGAGTGAGAACTGAATTAATTGAATGAGAAATATATCTCTAATGAAATTCGAGGAAATAACTTTAAATTTAAAGGCAGGAAAAAATGCGTATAATTTAATATTCCGTACAAGGAAGTCATGTAGTGTGCACATAAGATTTTTTTTCTTTGTATTTTGGTACTTATATTTTATTCATAGAAATGTTTAACAGAAAGTAGTTAAACTAAAGAGTTTTTCTTAATGCTTGTGTTGAAATTACTCTCAATATATGTATTTTGTATAATATCTGCTTTAGTTTTGATTAAAAATCATTAATCTCCAAGTGTAGATAATCTTGAGTTGGAAATATGATTGCAACTTTTCTGGCAGTTACTATACAGTAATTCATCAAACAAAAATACATTAACCTACTAAAATGTGAAGCAGAATAGAATGTAAACAAAAGTTTATTGTCATTCATGAAATTGTTGTTTCAGTTTATTATCTGGGTAGTAGGTAGGTACGTGACGGAGGACGGGGATGCCTGATGTGTAACATTGGTAAACAGGCATGTGTCCCACGTCATTCTAGAGCCAAATCGGGAGTTTACTACTTTAGTTTTAAAAGAAAATGCATACATTGTCATACAAGGGCGCATTTGACATATTCGTTGTACATTGCTATATTTTTGATAAGTGTTCAGATGATGGTGGACATATACAGTGGTGGCCAAAATTGTGGACACTTTTGGAAATTTTTATGTTTTTGAAATTTGTATGCTTATAGGAAACGTTACGTTTCACAAAATGCAAACTTGTATATATCATTTTAAAGAGAATTTATTGCTGAATTCAATACAAAACAACAAAATTCAATTATTTGCAATACAAAAAAAGTTAAACGATAATAGTTATCGATATACATTAGATAGTGATGATTGCAGTGAGTTATCAGTACTTAATAGGCACCCTTTATTTTTTATTACAGCTTCACATTGACGTTTCATTGAGCTGACAAGAGTTTTAAGCTCTTCTTTCGTTATTACATGATGCCAGGAAACACTATAGCCTCAATTAGTTCCCTTTAACTTGATGGGTGCCTCATTCAGACAAGAGTTTTCAAACGGTGCCACAAATTTTTGATAGGATTGAGGTCAGGACTGTTTCCCAACCATGACAACAATTTAATGCTCTTTGAACGAAACCACTCTTTCGATATTTTGGCCGTGTGGCAAGGAGCAAATCCTGCTGAAAAATAAACGAATCATTGTTGGGAAAGAGATCTCTGATGGATGGTAGAAGTTTTGGTTCTAGAATAGTGTCAATGTATTTTCTGGCATTCAGTGTCCCATCAATGACATGAAGGCTACCATTACTATCTGCTGACATGCATGACCAAATCATTACACTAACTGGGTTCTTCACAGTTGCTTGAATGCAGTCAAGATGTAGCTCTTCTCCTATTCTACGTCTTACATATTTTCGCCTATCACCACCGAATAATGATATCTTAGTTTTATCACTCCATATAACATGTGACCACTTATCATCTGTCCAACTAATGTGTTCTTTTGCCCACTGTAGTCTTTTTTTTTTTTTTTTTTTCGTTGCTGAAAATTAAGGCTTTTTTCGTGGAATTCTACCTCTCAGTCCAACATCTGTTAATCTTCTCTTGATTGTTCTTGAACTGATAGAAACACCAGCATCATTCAGATCACTTCTAATGGCCGCTGATGACATTTTTCTATCTTGGAGACATAGTCTTTTTATTCTTCTGTCATCAGTAGATGTGGTGCACCTTTTTTGGCCTTTTTCTTCTTTGTTTTTTATTGAATTTGTACCCTGATACCGTAAACAAAACTTTCAGACTCCAGATGTAGTCACTGAACCACCCACCTGTCTTGCAATTTCAGCATAGGAAAGACCACTTTCTTGTAACACATTAATATTACATCTCTTTCTAGGTGTCCACTCTACTCTTTTATTTGATGTCATTGCTTCTTGACTAAATATTAAAAATTTTTACAAAAATTCCTACTTGTAATTGCAGTGTATAAGAAACAGGTCCTCCTTCTACAGAACAAAGCAAAATAATGAATTGTTTCAAGTGTAAACGTGATGTCAGCTTCTACTGGCAGTTACTAACATTTGATTGGTTCTCAGAACAAGAACAGTGATTGGCCAGGAAAGCTAGACATTACAAACCACTTCATAACTGTGTTTTTTATTTATATTCAAGTACATGTAACTTTTTTGTATTGCAAATAATTGAATTTTGTGTTTTGTATTGAATTCAGTAATAAATTATCTTTAAAATGATATATACAAGTTTGCATTTTGTGAAACATAACATTTTCTATAAGCATACAAAGTTCAAAAACATAAAAATTTCCAAAAGTGTCCACAATTTTGGCCACCACTGTACATACATAAATACATAACATATAAATAATAGACATACAGTTACACATATAAGTAAATATGTAACTAAACACATAAATAAACATAAATAAATACATATTTAAAGAAGTTGAAACACTTCTTACAAATATTAGCATACATAAATGAAGTATAATAAAAATAGAAAGAACAGATACAATAATACAGTAGCATAAAAATAAATAGTCGTATAAGGCTTTCAGCAATATATGTAAGCACAGAGTATAATTATAATAAATGCAAATAACATGATGGATGTGTATATGCTAATGATTGATTGTGTATTACAAATGTCATTATTGTGGTTGGCAGAGATCTTGTCCAAGTGCTGCTATATTGTGTTGATTATTTTACAGATTTTATTTACAGCAGCTTTATTCTTTATTAAGAACTGGTGGTAAGCTTTCTTATTATTAGATGGCAGTGGCAGATGAAGGTTTACTGTAATAGGACATGCAAATAAGTAGTGGTCAGGCATACCATTTTGTCCACAGACTCGTAAATCTGTTGTTGAAATTCCATGTTTATAGAAGTATGATGGAAACGGGCCATGTCCTGTGATAATGTAGTTTTGTGATAAAGTCGTTCTGTCGTAACTTTTGGTAAAAAATCATATATGTGCCTGCTCGTCTCGCCTTGAATCCATTCTCGTTGCCATTGTTGCAGAGCCTTTGTTTTTAGAGCTGTTTTTAAATATGAAGGAGGACCAGGAATTGCAATTTACTGTGCGTTATGGTTGTTAGCATCAGCTTTGGCAAGTAGATTGGCTGCCTCGTTACCAGTATTGCCAACATGTGCTTTAACCCGTATCGTATTAATATGAGATTGTGAATAGTAGAGTTGCTTGCATATTTATTATAAGCAGTGAAGTATGATTTGGATTTTCTATTGCATACAGAGTTGATATTCTAACTGTATAAAGAGTTGCAGTACGTTTTTGACGATTAATGATGTGCTAAATTGCTGCTGTAATAGCCAGAGCCTCAGCTTGAAATACACTATTATATGGTTGTAAATGTCCTTTCCAAACATGAATGATGTCTCCTTTGTAATGAATGAATGCACGGCCCACACCATCCACACCACACCACACCACAATCAGTGAATGCACTGTCATCTGGATGGTAACAAACTCATGTCAAATGCTCATTAATTTTTTTTTTCTATAATTTTGGAGAAATTTTAGGGCAGCAATAATCCATTGGTAGGATTGGAAATTAAAATGATAAAAAATAAACTTAATTGATTAAACTAAAATGTGCAATGATCTGTTTAAGGGGAGGAATGCCTTTGTTGAAAATTCTTAAGGCAATTCAGCTCATATTCATGATACATATGGAAAAGTCTACAAAAGCACCGACTGAGCCATTCATTTTTAGATTTGACCCAATCCCAGTGTCCAACAGTTTTTCATACTTGGCTGTTAGGAGATATGATGGGTGATTTACTATCGCATATAAAAATTTTTGGACGGGCAGGGTATTGAAAGAGGAATTAGGATCAGATGGTAATTCTGGATTGAAAGCACAATTGTAAGGTTGGGGGGAGGAGGTTGGGAGATAACCATTAAAGCATCTATGCAACAAAACTGTTATTTGCCAACCACCTACAGAGATTTTTCTTAGTGCTTCTCTAGTGAGGCATATTCTCAAACACAGATATTGCACTGCTGCATCAAAGTTTATATGAAATTGGCTCCTTCAAGAGATGTCATGAATTATGAACAAGTAGTATGGACTTCTGAAATAAAAAAGTCTGCAGTCTTGAATCTCTGATCTGTGCAGTATTAAATCAAAATATCAACAAGTTCCTAATTTTATCACTCTGCCTTGATTACAGATTCGTAGATGTCAACATTTTCAGTGATTTGTGAGATTAAATTGAATTAGAATTTTTCATAGAATTCCTGGTTTTCTTAAAACTTACCTTGTTTGTTATTGGTAAAATTAATTTCCATGTTGAAATTTTTCATGATCTATGATCATAGAAATCATCGTTCATGTGTCTATGATCATTCTCGGCTCAACTTTATATTTTATTTCTAAATGTCAAGTAGTAATTACCTCCAGTGATACATTTGTATAAAATCCTTGAATTCCATCTTGGAAAGATTAATTAACTGAAACTGAGACAAGTGATTTTAAGATTGAAGCTATTCCTTTAGAAAGCGAAGCTTTACTTCTGTTCTAGAAAACCTTCTCCATTAAGACAGTTCTATCTAATGTTTTTAGCATCGTATATTTGTAAGACAATGTATATATATATTGATTTTTGCTAGGAATTTATCATGAAAATAAGGGTATCAAAATATGCAAGAAAATATAATTATTGCCCGCTCACAATTTAACTGAGTCATCAGCCTTTGATGGTAGCCTATGAAAACTAGAAATATATGTCATGTCAGGTCAGTTGTTACATGCCCAGCATATGTATATTATTTGAGTAATGAATGTTTAAACATAATTAAATGCGAAAAAATGTTTTAACAGTGTGGTGTGATCTTTCTTTTTCACACCTTTTTTATTTGTTTTAGTTTTAAATAAGGAAAATTGGTGTACATTTCAAATTAAAAAATATTGTTAGGAACAAATGTCAGTTATTTTGAATAATTTTAGTTGCATTTTATGTGGTTAATTTTTAGAAGTCATTATTTATTTTAAAATAAATTTAGATGATTTTACAGAATTTTGATTACATTTTCATATTTTTAGATGTTTAGAAATGCTATTACATATGCTAACTTGTGTTTTACTATTTTGTATTACTTACCTGTGGTTGGCATTTATGCCAAATAAAATGGTCTAGGGCATTTTTAATAAAGCAAGGGCCTCTGCTGTTGAAGAACAAATCTTTTTAAGTATATCATCTTGGGTACTTTTCTGTTATATACCTGCCATGTATTTAAGAGTGTGTCTCTGCACTATTTTGTCAGGCAGCTGCTACACATTTGTGTGTGTATGTGTGTGGGGAGGGTGAATGAAAAATGGTTTTATCTCCAGATGGCCCTATTTGTTGGGTTTTGGTGCATGTTTAGCTTCTCTTTCATAGGCGCCAAAAGGCAAGGCAGGTTTGTGTATAACAGAAAAGTATCCCATCTTATTCTACCATAAATATAATGCATTAGAACATTTAAAACAGTTCTTGATGCATATTTGTTTTTTATTTCAGTTTTTTATCCTGTGATAGATAAGCTGTGTGATCCAGAAATCATTAATAAAAAACTCATCTCATACTTGAGACAGCAGCAATTGGAAGCAGAGAAACATAGTCGAACATATGCTTATGCTGAAACATATGAGGATTTTATAAAAATGATTCAAGAATGTAATAATATTGAAGATTTACAACGTATGAGGTGAGTTGATTTGGATTTGAGATTTATTTTTAGTTGTTAAGTTTCATATTCTTAAAAGAATGCATTTTATGCTTTTTTACCAGTGTATCTAACTAAAATTTTATATGGTAAAGAACTTCAAAAGCTATTTGGTAAAACTGCTTCTGCAAAAGCCATAATAAAAGGCTTCGAAGTTCAAGTTTTTTGTATTGTTTTAAATATAAAATGTAGTTATATTAACATTTTATATCCTGAGCCATTACTGGTGTGACAGCATTAGTTTTTCCATACTTCTTTAATATGAGTACATATGTATGCATGTGTCATCTGTATTTGTGTGCATATTTAAGACAACATTTTTCTTTAATTTGTAACCATTCTAAATTCTGTTACATGCACATGTGCAATAGCATTTAAAGTATTTCAATAATATTTATTCATTTATTAATTATTTTTACACTATCAACATTTATTAACATATAAAAGGTTTCAAAATGTTAGTACTTTTAAAATGCTGAGTAATGTGTTTGCATTGCTAAGCTACCAAATAAATATCCAGTGAGAAATGTAGAAGTCCTTGCATTGGAGAATGTTTATTTTTTTTCTTTTTTTGTAAGTTTGAAAATAGAAAGACTGATGTTTGACCAAAATGGCAAATTTCTTTACAAACATCACTGCAGACTAAAGTTGTCTGGTGATAATCGCTGGGATCATAAACTGAAACCAGTGTTGATATTTAAAAAAGAAAAAAATGCAGAATGTGTGAGTACCAGCCTCTTTTTGATGAATAACTGTTATTTTCTATGAAAATGTATTATTGAATTCAACTAATAATATGATATTCTAAATTTGAGCTTTTTTATTAAAGTATATGTTGTAAATTCCCTGCTGAGCAGAATGCTCTGACAATTACTTCCTGTTCTTCAAATTGGGAATAATTTATTATTTTGTTTCTTTCCTTAGAGAGGAAGAGATAATGTGTGTGTGGTTGGCAATGTGGTAATGGCAGTTTGCAATTTTTCCAAATATGCCAATAAAACAATACCTAAGTAATATGAAGTTTTTGGGGTGAATGGTTCTTTCCTTAACCCTTTGAAATTCGGTGCCTTTTTTTTTTTTTATATAACTTTACACATAGATAACTAGCCCCTAATACAATGTTATTTCATGAAAAAAAAAAAAAAAAAGTAAACTTTTAAGGTAATTCATGACATGGTGGGATACCGCTTTTCCCACCGTTCATCTAGAGTAGTAAATTGGCAACTTTGCCTCAACGTAAATTCTCCTAACATGTTTACCTAAAGTGCTAGTTTTAGCAACCAAATGAAAATGCAAGATATAAAAAACGTTTTTGAATAATTATCTAGAAAATATTGATCCTATTCACAAAATAAAAAATATTTTTTTCAAAAAAGATTACATAACTTTAAAAAAATCGCTCTCTGTATGACTTTTTAGATAATTTTTAAGGAAGACGACCCAGTCTCCAGGAGTCGTTCGTGATGTCTAAATTAAGTCTCTGTTTTCCATGTGGACCCAAATGAAATATCATTTGACCATGAATACCATCTGGCACAGGCAAAGAATTTAATTTCGAACCTAAGATCACAATATCAAGCTCCTGATCTGAGAAGGCTCTGCTGAAAATAGCCGGGCCCACATGAGGATTACTACGACAGCCATGAACAACATTATTCTCCATCGTCTTAACATACTTGTCATCAGTGAAATTCAGACTACTCATTAATTGGTAATGCTCCCGTAAAATGTTAGCAGCCTGTCCATCATTCTGAGCCAAAACTCCACTCCTAGAATAAATAGTATTGCACTTTTCAAATTGGGGCTGTTCTTTACTAATGTCCTTCACCAGCTTCCGCAATTTACTGTTAGATGATCTTGAATCCAGATCGGCACAGTGTTCATTCCACATAACTCTCTTGGATCTGTGCATACATCTTTTTTAATTGTGCATTCACTCTATAGTTTGATTCTGTTAGTGTCATTATGATCAGAATCCAGATCACTCAGTATTTGTGTTCTCTCTAAGTATTTGTGTGTGTGATTGGAAAAAGGCAGTTGTGGTGCCTATTAGAAAACCTGGTAGGGACATTGCTTGTAAAATTATGGAGAAATTTTACAAGTATGTAAAATCTCATGTAAAATTATGGAGAAAATGATTTTAAAGAGATTCGCTTTTTATTTAGATTCTGACAACCTTCTCCCGATGTAGCAATATGGTTTTAGCGAAGAGCATAGCACAATTGACCAGGTACTTTATTTTAGCCAAAGAGTCAGAGATACTCATAACAAGAAACCTATACAACATACTATAGCTGCTTTTCTGGACCTTTCTAAGGCCTTCGACAGTTTTTGGACGCAGAGGCTACGTGGTACAGCACTGCTTTGGATTTGTGATTTGAGAAATAGATGAATTAGGGTGATGTTCAATGGTTCAACCTCAGATGGTTTTAAAATAAGCCCAAGGTGTTCCTCAAGGCTTGGCTTTGAGCCCTGCCTTGTTTATGCTTTTAATTGCAGAAATTGGAAAAAGTCATTCCTGGGAAATTGGATTATTTGCAGATGACATTTTTCTTTGGAGTTCCGGCTCTGATATTGGAAAGATGAAGCAGAGTATGAATCTGGCTCTAACTGACATGTGGAGCTTTGCTGTAGACCACAAATTAAGTTTTAACCCTTCAAAGTCTACTGCGTGTTTCTTCACAACCAATAGAAAATTATATTATTTTCGACCAAGAATCCTGTTGAACAGTCAGCCTTTGGAAGTGGAGAAACACCTAAAGTATTTGGGCTTCATATTGGATCCTGAGATTTTGGGTAATAGTCACTTGGAACATCTTGTTTTGAAAGCTAGGAAACACACACCTATGTTTCCCTTATTCGACCCATTTTGGAGTGTGACTTTCCCATCTTCTGTTGTGCCTCTGATTCAAACCTATAGAAACTTGAACGTGTACAGCTTAGTGCCACAAGCATTATTACTGGCCTTTGCAATTCATACCCAAAAGATATTGTGCTTTATGAAGCCAATCTGAAGTCTTTAAGTCTTAGGAGAAATGCATTTTTAGTGAAGTATTACTATAAGCTCTCCAGTCTTGGCCTCCAGAATCATACCTCGAAATTTCTAGGGTCATGGAACAATAACCAGAGGCTCAAACATGGTAGTCCCTTTGGACAGGTTGTTTCTGACCACCTTATCACCAATTCTTGAGTAACAACACAGCTCATCTCAGATTATTGACCCCTCTGAATATCTCGATGGGGTTTACTTTCATGTTAACCTTTCTGTCCAAGTTAGCAAACAGATAGAATTGCCATGCTACTTAAAACAGTTAGCTCTTGAAATAATAATGTCCCTATGGATGCTGTCCACATGTATACGGACGGCAGTAAACTTGTTAATGACAGTTCTGGTAGTGGCATTTATATTAGATTTCGAGATTAAGAAATAGGAATTCAAAGAAATCCAGACTTCTGCTCAGTATTTCGAAGCAAGCTTATTGCAATTCTGGAGGGTCTGGACTACGTCATGTGGCTTCCTCAGTTAAAAGATATCTGGATCTTTTCGGATAGTAGAAGTGCCGTCCAGCACTTGGTGATTGGCATAATGTGAGGGATAATACAAGTGCAGACATCCTCAGGAAACTAAAACAACTTTCTCTTTCTCAACGGATCCACTTTCAGTGGATTCCATCCCATGTCGACGTTGCTGGAAATGAAATTGCAGACAGCTTGGCTAGAGCTGGTGCTAGCAAGACCACAACGCCTGCCGCTCCTCTTACTTGTATGGAACTATTTTCTAAATGTAAGCAAAGAATAAGGCCGTTTGGATGATCCCACCAATGCACCCATGGTATCAGAGTAAGTGCCCTGGTAGCTCTTTGGTTCAGAGCAGCAATAGACGAGATCAAACTGCACTTAGTAAATTCCTTAGTGGTTATCTGTTATCAATCACTTTTGTCGGTGGTAATAAACATTTTGAAATATGCACTAAGTGTTCTACTACACAGGCCTCTCCTGGTCACATTTTATCTAGTCTGGGGGTTAGCCAGGATCTGGTTCAAGACCCCTTTTTTGTACTGGACTCTTTCAGGATGAATGGGCTCATGGACCTGATCTAGCTTAGCTCATCACGGGGATATAAAAAAAACAAACAACAGATATTTTTTAATGATGATAATAGATTTGAAACAGAGAAGATTTTGCCTCCAGTGCATTATTTGCTGCAGGTTTGAAAAGGAAGATATTTAGAAGGCCATCATGTTTATTTACATTTCACCTCTCTTTCATATGCTTAGGATATTTTTCTATGGTGAATCACACTCGCATATCCATTCAGTATTCAATGACGTTTCATATTACAGAGTTATATTTTCATTCTTTTGGAAAAAATACTAAATATTTTTCAAGTTTTAACATTATTGAAATAGATTTAAAAATATAAATTTGCATTATCAACATATAAAACGAACATAATACAGTACAAAGTCCATAATTCGGACTCAGTGGGACTTCGGTGATTCCGGATTAGGGGTTTTTCCGGATCATAGACCATCAATTTAAATCTGGTAAAATGGCATGCAGAAATTATACAATTAAAAAATATGGAACCGTAATTTATGAAATAAAGAGCAATTATGATCTAAAAGGGTATCAAAATTTACAAAAAAAAGCTTAATATTTATTTGTTTACTTTATTAAACATTTCTTTCAATGTAAGTTGTTTCAGTTGCTTCGTTTTTTGTGCAGTTGTGAGGAGTTATTTTACTCCTCGCATAATTTTGAGACGGATATGCCTTTATCTATTTTTTGCAGCAATTCCACTTTTTGTTTGATGGACATCAAAACATGCTTTCACTTTGTAGATCCTTTGGCATCTCCAGAATTGGAAACTCTTTTTGACATAATTGAAAGTTCAAGCTTAATTTTTATAAAATTGATGTAACAATCTGAAAAAAATAATAAGCCGGATCCAGTTAGAAGATTAAGGAACATCGCAATCT